ATTCCTTATTTTTATAGCTGGGCATGGTGGTGCATACCTTTGGTTTTAGCACTCCAGAGGCAGAGGCAGGTGAAGTTCTGTGAGTTCAAGGCCAGCCTGGGAGAGGGAGAAATGGTTTCCTTTAAAGGAGTGACTCTAAACAGGTTGACTATGCTCCAGTGGATGGACTCACACTGAGGGATATCTGAGGACACAAAAGTGGCTTGATAAGCCTTAATATATATGATAGAATGCATGAAATCCAGTGGGGGGGCGGTAAAGGAGGAGCACAGGTAGGGGAAGGGGTCTAAATACAATCAATCAACATGTCTTGTATAAAATTCAAAAAAATCCAATTGAAAACTTTTAAAAATAAAGAGAACTGAGCATGGTGGTGCACACCTTTAATCCCAGCGCTCAGGAGGCAGAAGCAGGTGGATTTCTGTGAGTTGGAGGCCAGCCTGGTCTACACAGTGAGTTCCAGGTCAACCAGGGCTACAGGGAGACCCTGTCTCAAAAGGACTGAAAAAAAAAAAAGTGAGCTATAGGGGCTAAAGAGATGGCTCCGTGGTTAAGATACTCGCTGCTCTTTGAGAGGACCCAAGTTTGGTTTCAAGCACCCATGTTAGATGGCTCATGACTGTCTGTAAAATCAGCTTCAAGGGACTCAATGCCCTCTTCTGGCCTCCACAGGAACCCTCACAGTACATGGCACAAACAAACACATAAACATAAAAAAAAATGTTTAAAGTGAGTGATTTCTACACTTATCAATAAAGAACAGTATAATGTAATTGCTACGCAGAGTCACAGGGGAGGCAGACTCACCCAAGAACACCAGGTTGTTGTAGTTCTCCAGCATCACGTCCCTGTAGAGGGTCCTCTGAGCAGCATCCAGGTCTTGCCACTCCCACCAGGTGAACTCCATGGCTACATCCTCAAAGGACACCAACCCCTGCAATGACACATTTCTCTTCAATATAAGACTTTACCCTTAGAGCCAGGCGGGGTGGCGCACGCCTTTAGTCCCAGCACTGGGGAGGCGGAGGCAGGCAGGTCTCTGAGTTTGAGGCCTGCCTTGTCTACAGAGTTCATAGTTCCAGGCCATATGGGGCTACAGGGAGACCGTGTCTCAAAAAGATGAAAAAAAAAAAGGCTACCCTCAGGAACAGAAAATGGGAATTCACTCTTCTGTATTTGTGTTTTACCAGTTTATTATAGAAGGTAAAGCAATATAAGTATCTTACCTCTGTCAGCACAGAGATTCAAGAAAACATAACTAGAGTTTTCTAAGGAATTTCAATAGAAACAAATCCATAGAATATGTTTATAACATTTGGGTTAAGAGCAAGAGGAAAGAGCTAGGCATCGTGGCACTCTCAGGAGGCAGAGGCAGATGGACCTGTTGAGTTGAAGGCCAGCCTGGACTACATAGTTCCAGGCCAGCTTGGGATAGGGAAACCCTGTCTCAAAAAGACCAAAAAAAAAGAAAAAAAAAAATGCTGAGGCTTGTGGCATGGCACTGTTGTAGTGTATGCCCCAGAGGTGCAAAGCTACAGGGTCAATTCTCTGTAGTTACAGTACAACAAGTCCTGTTGCTAAACTGTTGGTCACAGCTCCATAACTGAATGTGGGGACTGAAAACTGGGGAACACTAAAAGGTTTCTAAACATAGAACCAAAAGTTAACTCAAAATCTAATATGCAATGAATCTGAGGTGTTGTTACTGCAGTGCCTGACTGTTGTATGAGCAACTTTACTAGCATTTGTTCACAACACACAACGCATGTGCTTGGTATTGTGCATGCCATCACACCATGCAGCACCAATGAATGCTACTTGTAACACCTTTGTTAGAGATCAAAATCAGGACTGCAAATTGAGAGGCCACCAGCCAAATTAAAGCATCTGGTCAAAGCAGACTTCACGGGGCTGGAGAGATTGCTCAGCGGTTAAGAACACTGGTTGTTCTTGCAGAAGACCCAGGTTCGAATCCCAGCACCCACATGGCAGCTAACAACTGTCCATAACTCCAGTTCCAGGGGATCCAACAGCCTCTTCTGTCCTCGTGGGCATTGCACAACACAGGTGCCCTTACCTACATGCAGGTAATACACGGATACATATAACAATTTTTTAGGCCGGGCATGGTGGCGCACGCTTTTAATCTCAGCACTTGGGAGGCAGAGGCAGGTGGATCTCTGTGAGTT